CGGGCGGGGGCCTGCCGGTCCTTGGGACGGGACACCTGAGGGGCAGACGTCACCCCATGCAGGCAGCAGCAGCAGGCAGCTGCGGCCGTACACGCCGAGATGACTTTTTTATTGCTTCCTACATCGCCCACTGCCACCAGGTCAAGCCAAAGCAAGCAGCCACCAAGGCAGCGAGTGGGGTTATTCCTGAATAAGAGCTGCTAGGTCAGCAGTTCATCCGTGCAACACGTACGGCGATGCCTACGTGGTGCTCTGCAGACCCCCCCAAAGCCTCAGCCCACCTTCCTTTGGCTTCAGAGAGCGTAAGATGCCCTCGACTGAAGTAGGTGAATACGCATTGCTCGACCCAACAGGCTCAGCTGGAGACTGCTCCTGCCTGCCTAACGTGAGAACTGGAATAATCGCTCCTCTTTTTCGGTCGCAGAAACTGAGGCAAAGAAAAGAAAGTGGCTTGTCCAAGGCCACACAGCAAGCTGCAGCTCAAGAGATAGGGACTAAGCCCATAACATACTTTCTGTTCCCTCGGTTGAGATACTGCTCGGCAGCCCTCATGCAGATGGCCTTGTAACTAAGCAAACTGAGTGGGACTGAGATCTAGATTTGTTTTCCAGACTTGTCACAGATTACTCATGTGATCTTGAGAAAGTCACTTCATCTCTTTGTGGCCAAGTTCACAGTCTATGTATCCTACAGTCACATACCCAAGTCTGCATCTGTGCTTTTCTTCATATCCTTCTGAAGTTTTTTGGTCTGATCTTCCAATCTGAAAGATGGGAGAACAAGGCAAAGTCTGAATCTTGGAAAGAAACAAACCAAAGTGTATCATACGTGCAACAAATCATTTACGGGCTGAATATGCTGGCTTCTGCTGCGAGTTAAAAATATCCAGGCAAGGCTCTACGAAGTTCAGTGCTGCTCAACCTTTTCTGGTTGTTTTCAGATGGTTTTCAACTTTTTCAAGTCGGTGATCTCTTATTCAAAGTCACATATTTTCTTAAGTCCTCACACTTACCACAAATGGTAAAGCCAAATGCTTCCAGATGATAAGTGTGAGCTTATGTGACACAGTCAGTATGGTAAAACCAATATTTGTCCTCAGAGGTGTTGAGCTGTTCGGTGACCCCACAGTTTTCTGGCAATTTTACACTCTCTACTTCAGAGCTGCCATAATCTGCAAACCTCAACCCCGCTGCAAATACTTCTTAGGACACCTTTGAACACCCAGCCACCAGAGAAACTCTGAAGAATTAGAAATTACAGGGCAGTGAGTGATTTGCTGGGAAGAGCATAACTGGCTAAAATTTCCTGGGAAGATGCAATAAGCTGGCGCAACAGCAAAGTATGCCACTGTTCCTGTTTTACCAGTGTGGTTGATACTTACTGCTGAAGCTTTCCATATTCTCTTTCAAAGTCTCTCTCCACCTGTGGAAAGAAGAGATGGAAATCAGCTCAAAGGTACTGCAGCAAAGCCTGGAGTGGCGACTACCTGTGCAGGGAAACCTGTCCTCGGGAAATGCCTACGTGAACCCAGGGAAGCATAAGCTGCAGCTTCAAAAGTAAGTCAAGTCTTGGGGTTTTTTTTTTGGTTTTTTTTTTTCCTCCAGACTCTCTTAGAGCAAAAGACACTTGCCACCAACTGCGTCAGCTCGTTCCAGGGATGTGCTCCAGCACATGAATTGGAAGCTGACAGAGGAAATGGGAAGGCCTTAAAAGCAGAGAGATCGCAACTTAGCAGGCACCGACACAGGCACCCACAGCTCCGCTCGGCGCTGGCGGGGGACGAGGCCGCTTTCTCTTCCAGAGGCACAATCATCCCAGGAGCGGAGAGGAGAGGCTTCTCCTCCAGCATCACGCTGCAAAGCACCCCTGCGCTGGCTCTGCCCACGAGAGCCCTCCAGTCTCCGTATTATTCACCCCCCCCGCCTCGATATGCTCCTTGTTCCTTGCAAGAGCTCCCTCCGACGGAACACTTCAGCTGGAGCAGCGGTCCACGTGGACTGCGGCACCTCGCAAAGGGAGGAGAAACCTGTGCTGGCGAAGAGCGCAGAGCTACAGAACAGCCTTCTCCCGATGCCACATCAATGACTGCTTCCTCCTACTTGCTATCTGGCAGCAAATCTCCAGCGATACAAGATATTTTAAGGAACTTTCCTTCCATGCTGACTGTTTTAACACACACTTAAATATTCATTCCACACCTCGTCGACCAAATAAGCAAATGGATTTCAATTGACCAGCCAAGAGTAAATACATGCGCTTCTGTTGTCATGGGATCAAAACTGGGTTCATTTCTGTTGTCAAGCTACCATGCTATTAAGGAAATGCTAAGTGTTGCAAGCAGCCAGGACTAGAAGGATCCAAAGGTTTGTTCCAAATCTTCATGCTGTCCTCGGGATTTCAAACGCAGGCTTGATGTAACAGCATTATGTGAAACCAGAACACTTAATAGGGACATTTGCTTTTCAATCAAAATTGCTATTAAAAGACCAATATTTTAAGATGGAGCCCAGCACTCCCAGCTTTCTTGAAACCTCCTTTTCTAAATATCTCGTTGGTCTGCGCTTTCAGATACTCCGCAGCGACACGACCAGCCCGAGCCAAAGGCAGGCGGTGACCCCCGTGGCGAGCGTGCCGGGTTTCAGCCCCATTCCCAGCGGACAGCTGTCCACCCCATCAGCTCCCACCATCCGGGGGATGCAGGCTGGCTCTCTCTGCCGATGAAAAACCTCCACCGAGCTCCAACTCCCTTGCGTGCTGCTAAAAATGGTCGCTGGAGAACAGGCATGGAGCGGTGTGGGGGCAGCTCACACGACTTCTGCCTGGTTCACAGATCTGCAGAAATCCGCAGCAGCTGGTGCCTGGAGGTCAGGTAACCAGCACATAGTAAAAATCACCCTCGATTTCTATGGCTGTTCCGGCTGCTAAAATAACCAGGGAGTATTGCACTCTATTTATATGCCTTATGTGTGAATTGTTTTGGTTGCAAACCAGAGAGGGTTGGGCATGACTTGAAAATATGTCCTTTGAAGGCTGGTGGTGTCCTTCCCCTGGCATGGAGCTCCAGGTCGGGAGGTTCTTCCTTGTGTCTGCTCAGCAGTCAGTTCCTCCAAGAACCCAAGGGTTTGGACATGAAATGAAACTACCTGCAAAGATCCACGGTATCTGCCCCCTTCCCTTCTGCTGTTTGATTCCCCCATTACCATGCGATGAGTGGAGACGAGCAAAAGGCATCGTTGCTTAAAGGATGTGAAGGCAAAACTTCCTTGCTCTGCGACCCTCCGGATGATGCAAACCCCCAAATCTTCCAGGGCTTCCAAGCCTCCCCGAAACACCCAACCCCAGTTAGCCTATGCGCTTTCTACATACGATCGAGGTGGATCTACAAGGCAGCTCTTCAGCTGCCCGGCCTGACTCACATCGCCAGTGCCATCTATGCAGAGACAGCTGCCCAAGGATTGCTCTTATTTTTCACGCCCACAGTAGCAACTGGCTACCAGTCATCACAGTCTGCAGGCTGATGTAGCCCTCCCAGTCATTGCTGCTCTCGTTTGCATCGCAGGCAGCGAGGAGCAAGGCCCCCCCCCACATGCACTAGATGGAGAAGACCCGCTCTCACGTGCTCCCACCGGGCAGATTTACAGGCGGCAGCGACCGGCGGATCAGAGACGTGCAAGGAGGACAGGCTGAGAGCGAGCCAAGCACATTTTGCAGAGCACACAGTAATTCCCGCTCCCAGGAGCGATCATCAATGGCCACACATACCCGATACTCACAGCAAAAGGCTACGGATAGGATTATCACGTTAAGAGTAACAAGAACAAGAAGTACAGGCAAGAAAATTACAATATCCTGAAGGGAAGTTTCCGTAATATTAAAATAATCCCACTTTTCTGCAGCCTCTTTCTGAAAACTGAAGATCAAAATGTGTTTCTGTATTGAACGCTTTTTCTCCTAGGCATACGGGCTAGTTAATGCAAGATTGCTCGTCTCCGGGTTTTTATTTAAATCTACATAAAGAACGACGAGTTCTTAAAAGCACTGAAATAAAATGACGTTCTTCTTTTTCACCCAGTTATTTTTGTTTGCAAACACTGGGCCTTCCACCTGTGATAACATCCCTCCTGCTTTAAGGGCTATATCATAATCGACACCATGGTTACAAGGCAACGAAGCAAGACCAAAGCCAACACTACAAAGAGATGGAAATAAGGGACTGTGATGAACCTTCTTATTCCCCTGAGGTTAATTTCTTTTCCTGGAGGAGGAGGAGTAGATGATTTCTACGTGCTCCAGTGGTCTCAGCCTCTTTGTGGGTCCTGGGAAAAAGAGGGAAGTAAATGCTTCCTCCTCCCTCCTCTCCGAAAAAAACCCACCCATATAATTAGGCCAGAAATTCTGCTATAACCTGGAAGTTCTGCTGAGCTTTTGCCATCCCATCAAGCAAGAGGTGATTCAGGGCAAGTAATGTGGGTGAATATTCGTTCTGCGCCTGACAGCGGAGCCCTGAGCCAAAGCAACGCTTGCAGAGTGCAGGTGGACCTGGGACTCCTCTGGCTTCGCCACCCAGCACGCTCTCCAAACCCCCCCTCTAGCAAGAAAGCTTTCAAGAAAGGCTGCTTAAGCGGCACACTAAAAGGGAGAAAGGATGCACCTCCGAACCGCAGAGACCGGTTACATCCCGCTGAAGATTGACGGAAGAGAATGAAAACGAGTAAAATCATTTAGCTGGTGTTACTTGATTTCACCCCATCATTTGTGCGACATTTACTCCGTTATTTCGGGATTTCCAGCTCGCTGGTGGAGCCCAATGGAAAGGCGCTGACGGCCGGCAGCTGCAATGGAATCCTCCTGCTCATGGAGCACCTCCATCCGACATCCCTGGGGAAGGCAGAGCTGCTGGGATGAGTCAAGGAAGGGAGGCTTGGCAGGCGTGTGGGCCCAGAGCTCAGGTCTCTGCTCCCTGCCAAGCTGACTCACCCAAGGTTAGCCAGCGAGGAGGAGGAAGGCGAGCCATCTGAGTCAGCCCAGGCCAGAGCGCTGCCGAGGCAGGGAGGGAGGGAGGAAGGAAGGGGTAAAATCTGGGCGACGGGAAGGGGCTGTGCGCTGGGTTGCCCCATCCCAAGAGGGGATGAGAGCTGGCTGGCTCTTCCAGCTCCCAACCTGGCTCCGCGCCCCGTGGGGACATACGGCCGGCTCTTCTTCCCAGCTACCTGCCGGCTCGGATAACCCAAGCCCCGGTGAAGAGCAGGGTACAACCTTAGGGTGACACGGATGAACTTCAGCAAGCTGGAGCTGCAAGAGAGCTCGGAGGACAACTGCAGTTCTGGTTCCAGCGTAACCTCTGCTCGGATCGAAGTTGTCCTGGGGGAGGGAAGAGCATCTCTGCCATAAGAGGCTTCATCGCTACATCGGATTTGAGCAATAAACATTCTGCAGAGAGATATAATTCTAACAGGTTTAACTTCTATCACTGGGCATTAGTTTAATTGGGCTGTGTTACTGTGTCCTCCGTGGCTCCGCTGACAGCAGGTCCTCTCTGTGCATTAGATCCTCCCACCCAGCTCCTGGCCTCCCGGCAAGCCCGGTGACAGCTGCTCTTTTCAGGGGAGAGGAGGGGAGAGATTATGCTGTCTGGAATTGGATTTGCCCAGGTTAAGGTGGAAACAAAGCAGAGGCATGTCTGGGGGGCGGGAGATCACTTCAGTTCACCCGCCGATGTTTTCTACGGGGGTTTCCTTCTACCTGAAGAGCTAAACTGCGGCTGACACCATGCCCTTCTTCAAAGGATCAGAAGCGAGTGGGCATAGGGAGTCATGACTAATTCCCTCTGCAGCCTAGGCAAATTGCTTTTCAGTACTACTGCCGGCCTAGATTTGACACCAGCCCCAGCATTGTTTCATCAAGAAAAAGAAAAAAGGCTTGCTGGCGAGCTAAGCCTCTCTCGGCAAAGCGATGCTCCCCTCTCCCGCGCTCGAGTTACACGCCTCATGGAGAGCCAAAGAAGTCAGATCCTAACAAATGCTTTTTTTTTTTTGTTTTCCTCCCCCCCTCCTCTTTTGTGGTCCAATCTCTGTGAGTGGGAGATCCTCTACCCGCAACCACTTCCCTTCTGATCGGCTTGGGATGCAGCCCTGGAGATGCCACACCTTCCCACTTCCTGCAGCGGGCTCCAGAGCCCAACATCTGGAATATCACAGACCTCGGCTGCTACCGCTGTTCCCAAAAGCCCGCACAGATGGAGAGTCTCAGCCTGCAACTGGGAGGTAAAGTTGGGGGCCTCGAGCTCCCTAAAGCTACAAAGCAGCCCCATCACTTCCACACCACGATGCTGAACGCCTCGCTCCCAGGGGAGATCGGTGGTTTCCTGCCATTTGTTCTTCTTTGAAGAGCTGTGCTTTACACTTACTGTGAGGCTGCAAGGCTTTGGGCTTCCTGTTTGCTGCTTTCCACGTATCTGCTGCCTGGAGAGTATCACCGTCAACACGCGGCAAGTGGAAACCATTTAAAAATCTGCATCCGAGGCTGAGCTACAGAGCTGCTGACACAAAAACTTGCTGTTCTTCTTGGGAGAGCTGAGGAAGATGGGGAAGGAAGGAAGGAAGGAAGGAAAGGGAAAAGGCCTGGAAACATTCGCACTGCTGAATGAACCTCTGCCTGCCGGATATTCTGAGCTGTTCTATTTAATACACACACACACACACACATATATATATATATATAAGCAATGCCTGCCAACTGGGTCAGCACATACCAGCGGCTCAGGGGAAGGCAAGCTCTCAAAGGTGCAACCGTTGATCTGCACGGAGCCCAAGCTGCTGCTGCAGCTCGGGGACGGCTGATTTCAGCAGCAATGGAGCACGGCACAGGGGAGACAAGGTCTCTCAGACAAACCTCTCGGAACAGCAAACGCAGCAGGAGCAGAGGGAAATCAGCAAGCGCTGGCAATAGAGAAACTACAGTCAACTTGGATGTGAGAATGGGTGGGATGGAGACGTCCAAGAAAGCTGGCCAAGACACCCAGAGCTGCAGAGCAGTTGGTTCTTGCAACAGCCTGGAAGGACACCAGTGTTGGAAACACTGGGAAAGAGGACGAGAGGCAGAAGCTCGTGGAGAAGGCAACGCAGGGTCTCCTGAGATGAACGGGAATGGGTGTGAAGACCTGAGGCTCATGGACCTCACAGACAAGCAGCACCTTCCTCCGGCTGCTCGCCAGCCCCTGGAAAAAGGGCAGCTGAAGAGATGCAAAAACCATTGAGGGATTTTATCAGTCCTCGTCTTCATCGCCTGCCTGGCTTAAATTTTGTACTGACAGTTTGGAGCCGTTACAGAAAATTGCTGTTCTATGGCAGCAGACAACTACCAAATCCTTTAAAATAAAACATGTCAGTCAAGCCATAAAGGGAGTGGCAGAATTAGCCCTCTGCCTCCAGGGGAAAATGTCATGTCCCAAGGAGAAACTGCCCCGTAAACACGAGTGCCCACGCATCCTGAGGAATTAGCCGCGGTGAGTGTCCCAGAGAGGAAGGATCAGAGATGTTAGTCTGTTCAAAGGATTAGGTCACCAATGCCGTTATAAAGACAAGGTCTCCGCCACGCTCGCTGTCGGGGCACTTATTTTAGAGCAGGTATGCAGGTTCGTTTTCAGGGACAGCTACTGTGAGGTCCCACAGCTTTTTTTTGCACGGGACAAAGGCAAAGACCATCTGTTTAAGAAGGGAAAATACCACAGCCAGCTGCAAGCAACAGCACTTGGGATAGGAGTCTCAAATACACGAGAATACAAAATGCTTTTTTAATTTGCTTTTAAAGCAAATGCTGTGCAGCACAAATTAATTCACGCCCGAGCACTAAGCATCTCAGCTTATAAGCCTTTCTTTGGAAACAGTTATATTCAGCGATCTGAACCACTCCTCCTCCTCCATCTGCTCAGAAAGGATGAACAAACAAGCTATTGCTGAAAGAAGGAAGGAAGGAAGGAAGCCCGTTCAGCCATCTCCGAGGAAAACTGTGCCAGACCAAAAGAGCTCTTCCCCTCACCCAGATCCCAAACCAAAATACTCTCCCTGGTTGGGGCTCCCCCTCACTCCTCGCACGAGGAACCGAGCGCTGGTCACACGCGGCAACAGGTTCTGCTCGCTCACATCTCCCTCCCACGCGCGCGCACACGCACACGCTCGCAAAATGGGACGAGTCAAAGTGCCGGCTTGACTCATCAGCCACATGATCAAAGGCTGGATCTAAAAAGGGGGAACTGGTTTACTCACTGTCTTGGGTACAATCTGTTTCTTGGGCTGCCCGATCTTGAACGGTATCCTGGAAAAGAGAGAAGAGGGAAGGTGTAAGCGAGCGATGCTGGCCTCAAACAGCCCAGCCCTGCGGGTCTCCTCCTTGGTGATGGGGTTTGGGGTGAGCAGGGCTTGTCCCGGGGGCAGCAGCACCCCTTTTCATGCAGTGTGCTCCCCCTCCGAGAGCCGGTGTCTCCCCCGAGGCCAGCACCCCCAGCCTCAGCACGCCCCTTTCCCCACCCTCCCACGGTCCCAGCAAGGCAAAGAAATGCAATGGATGCTCCAGGCGTTCCCTGGCTGAAGAACATGCTATGTTTAAAAACAAATCCGGAGGGGAGGGAAAAAAAAATGAAAATAAATAAATAAAACCCAAACCCTGTAAATATTTAGAAAGAGGATATTAAAAAAAGTAACAACCCGTGCGTCTGGAGCTGTGAGCTGCTTCAAAGGATTTCTGTGATACAACAGCTGTAGGAGCGGCTCACCTGCCAGCAGAACAGGCTTCATTCTTAAAATCTTTAATATGGTTGCGAGTAAAATCTGGGTTACCTGAATGATTTTTCCCCACGCGAGCTAGCTCAAAGGTGAAGAGTACTCAAAATAAATTACACAACATATGTAAGGGTGGCTGGGTCAGATGGTTACAGCCACGCAGCCGTCCTGAAAATAATTGGATTTCTTTCACCTATCAGTATAATAAAGATCCAGGAATTCAACTGCTGTTTCCGATAGATTTAATTAAGTTAAAGAGGTGCTGCTTGATTAAAGCATCTCATCCAAAATCTCCCAATGCTTTCTGCATCATAGTGCTTTAACTAAAAAGAAAAAAATGAGTCCCATAATGAAACGCAAGGATTTTTACTCAGAGATGCCTCACCTAGAGCACGCCTATAGCTCAGCATCCCACCCCAAATCCGCACCAGGCGCTTCTTGGGAAGGTACCCGAGCCCCCTCTTGGACCAGTCCAAATCTCAGGCTGCTACTTAAAGTCTAAGCTAGTATCGTGCGCTTTAGGACTCTGGCTTGGCCGCTGGTCACGCCGCCTCGCAGGCCTGCTTTCCTCACCACTGGGCAGCAAAAGCTCCGTTTGCTTCTCAGCAGCTTTGCTTACAAGATCCCCCGCGCTGGCACTGCTGTAACACCGCTCCGTCGGACAACTGGAACCCCAGAAAACATTTTTTTATTCGGGTAACGTGCCGTAAGACCCAACTATGAGCAATGCCACGCGATGGGAGAAAGTGCTTGCGTCGAAGCGACACGCCATCCACGCGGATGAAGCAAAACCAAGATTATCCACCAACCCGATCCCTCCCGGCCTCGCTTCTGCCCATCTTTGCCGCTGTTTTCGAACCAACGGTGTAATTAGGCACCGGTTATAAACCGGGGCTGCAACCCCTGCGTACCTCCTGAGCGGCTCGGGGAGCACAAGCCAACCTGAGTCACCAGGTTTAAATTTATATTTTTCTGGAGAACTTCCTGTTTATGGTTCTCCGGTTGGACCGATATAATTTTAGGTTGTTAACCCTTTCCAGCTCCTGTGGCAGCCGTGAATCACACTTCTTTTATAAACAAACACTCGTCTGGTGTATAATTACCCTGTCAATAACTGGGTGTGTGGTGCCTTACAGGAAGAAAGCAAAAAAAAAAATAAGGATTTTTTCTTTGTGTTTTCCTACATGGGTCAAATATAAACTAAAATGAGGCACCTCCCTTACGCTCGCAGGCACAGGCTGTCCCATCCGCAGCCAGGTGCCGTCACTCGATGTTTTTGGAAGTGATGGCATCGACCTATCTCAGCGGAAAGAGGAAAAAAAAGATGCGGTCTTTACCCGGGGGGAGCGAGTTACCCCAAGAAAAACCAGCTTGCATGATGAGCCACGGGCAATCTCCGGCAGCGCGGGAGCAAGCCCAGGGTTGAAGCTGGAGCTAGGCTGGTTCCTAGCGGGAAAGCACAATTAAAAGGGCGATTAAAGCATTACCTGCGCGCAATCTTCCCCTCTCCCTTGTCTGGCCAACCCTGCCAACGCGGGTTATTTAGAGAAGCAATCCCGACTGTCGTTGTCCGCTGGCAAGCTGGGTTAAATCAAGGCAATGTGGTAATAAAAGAGGGATGCGGGGAACGGGCAGGGCAAAGCCGGGAATCGGCATCGGCTGGGTGCCACCGAGCCGGCAGCGAAGGCAGCAGCCGAGGGGAAGGCAGCGGGGAGCACAGGGGGTCCCACGAGCAGTCCCGTCCCGTCCCCCATCTCCCCTGCCCCACAGAAGGGAAGGGAAAAAAAAAATAAAAAATCCCAGCTACTTTCTTCCAGAACAAAAGCAAAGTCACTGGAGCGCTTCACAAGGCTGCAAACACACTTTGAAGCAGTAAATATCTCTATCAGCATCGTGATGCCAGTTGGCTAATTATGTCTGTCTCAGTAAAACCTCTAAAAAATAACACCGTGCAAGTAAAGCATATTCACCAATTTATATATTTTTTTTTCTCTACTGCTATTTTACAATTTGAGATCAATCTTCCTGGTTTCTGAATCTTTGCCTTTTACACTGGTTCTGGGGGGCAGGCGGGGGGGGGAAAGATGCATAAGCGGGAACAAAAGAAGTAAGGAAGGGAAAAAAAAAAATGACGAGAAGTATTGGATCTTATCTGAGCTTTTAAAACAAATGGATGCGCCCTGCGCTTCGAAACTTGATGGCAAGCTGCTGCTGGCACCGAGGATTTTTGCCCTTCCGTGAGCCTGCGAAACGGAGGGGGACAACATGTGCCTGATACAGCAACGTTACAACTGTTTGCTTAAAAATTAAAGAGTTGCCAGGTGTTTTATTCTGCTTAGAAAATGGGCATAATGCAAACACGTTGGAGAGAGACGGGTCGGTCTCTTTTACCGCCATGGTTTACCAGCGCGGCACGGTTATCACCGTGACGTTAAAAGCTGAGCACGGGTCTATGTACACCAAAGGAAAACCAGAATCGGTGCATTTTTTTTGATCTCTCATTTCTGCTGAGCGAGAGAAAGCTGGGGTTGTGTTTGGGGTGTGAAATCCCTTGAAATCCTGTTCCTGAAGAGCGCGAGCACGCTGAGTCACAGCCGGAGCGTTCCCACCCTGGTCCCCCCCCCGCCGCAGGGCTGGGGGAGCATCCCAGCCCCTGGCCCTGCCCGGCCACCCGCACCCCCCCTGGGGGTGGCCGGGAGTTTGGGAAAACAGTGGGGTTCAGCTGGGAGGGAGGAGGGCGAAGCACTGCAGGGAGGGGGTGGGAAGAGCTTAAAGTAGGAAAAAAAGTGTGGGTGGAGAGAATCCTGCAAGCTTCTACTCGGGGATGCTCAGGAACCCCAGGGAGGGGAAGGTGGGAGAAGCTGTGGCTAATTTTCTCTGAAGTTTCCCCAGCAATGTCATATATTTACTTGGCTTTTCCATGTGCAAACCCAGGGCCACACACCAAAGCAGCTAATTCTCCTCTGGATGCACAGGAGAGTTGCAAACAAACCTCGCAGGCAGAGGGGGGGAATACAGCTCAATGAGGTCTGCGGGGAGCTGGAGTTTAAAACATGTAGCTCCCACTCTCTGACAGTCCCCTGAAACGAAGGCACGCAGGAATTGCCAGCGTGAATCAGACTAAATCATTGCTAATTTAGGACGGCGATGGTCCTTTCGCTGCATTGGACCGAGCAGGACAGCAAACCTTGGCACCGTCCCCGGTCCGGAGCAGGCGGCGGGGAGGCTGGGGAGCCCAGGCGGCGTTCGGAGCGCGCACAGGGGATAAATAACGGGTGGATGTGACCCTTTCCCCCACGGCGCCTTTCATCTGAACATCGCTTTGCAAGCCCTAATCAGGCCCCAGAAGACCCCTCGCAAGTCAAGCACGAAGCGTTTTCACCCACGGCTGATAAGCCACTGTCCCTGGGGATGCTGAGCCGAGCCGCTTGCTGCCGACCCAGGGGCTGGGGAGGGATGAGAGGATGGACAGACAGAGGGACGGACAAGCAGCATGCGAGGGAAAGGGCAGGGAGAGCAGAGGCCAGGGCAATGTGCTCGCTCACACTGTGTTTTGGAGGTTAATTACCCAGACACTTCGGAAAAGCAACGCTGAGCCTCTGGCAACCACGCACCATCAAAATCAATATTTCTGCCACAGGCGGCGATGGACATGGGCGGCGTTTGCCAGGGACCCGCAGGTCTAAACGTGGTACGAAGCAGTGGTAACGACCGGTTTTTATCGGTAACACCATCACCATCAGGCCACCAACTAAATTAATGTTTTGTGAAAAGTGCCCGCTTCCTGTGGAAAGTTTCAGGGCTTTTATTTTTTCTTTCTTCATCAAAACCCCAAGCGCCAGCAAGCCAGCACAGCCTGGATTTCCGCCAGAACTTTTCACTCCTTGAATTTCCACCAAAAATCTCAATTCTTTCACCGGAAAGAAACCTCTCTCTGCTTGCAGCCAGGAGGACGACACCCAGCCTCCTGCATGGCAAGGGGTGACCCCAACCCACCCAGGCCGGTCTTCCCAATGATTCTGGCACGTGGCATGCCGTGGGCTTCTGCACGATCCATTTATACCTGATACCAGCCAAAAACTGGTCCTAAGCTACCCCAGAAACTCCCCTTGCGACAGTCAGGGGCCCTTCCCAAGCCCTGCTCGGGGGCGAGCCCTTCTCTTCGCCCAGGCTGTGCCAAGCTCCTGCTTTGGGAGAGGACTGGGCTCGAGGTGTAACCACAGCCAGGAGACCTGCCTGTTCACAGGACTAGCTGCTAGCTGGGAGAGATCAAAGCGTTCCCATAAACATCCACAGGAAGGCTGGGAGCATCTGAGGAAGGATGCGAACGTGGAGGTTAATAACTTTCACTTTCTCATTGCCGCTATCGAGTGAATTTGGGTGAGCATCTCCATGGCCGTGCCTTCTGCACTCCGGTAAGCATCACTACAAGACATTGCTGTTAGGAAAGGAGCTTTCTGTGGTGTGATACGGGAAAGCCAGAGAACCCTGGAAGTTCAAGGGCGGCTGTTACCACCGCCAGTAGCTGCTGAAACA